TGCTTTTTGCAGTGAGAAATGGAGTTAAACCAGAACTCAGGATTAATCAGAAAATCCTCTGAACATAACTCAAACCAGGACTAAATCTGGACTGAACTAAACAAAAGGTCTCCAAAAGCTCACTGTTGTGCAACATGATGAAATGAAATCAAATATTTTTCACTGGAAGAGACTGGAGAATATCTGGTTGATCTGGTCTGTGCACAAAGTTATGATCTAAAAATAAATAATTGTTGACATAAAGGAATTGTTGTCACTGACTGGATGTGGCTCTCTAGAAAATTTATTACAGATTTATCGATCCAACTTTTTTTGGTCCTGATCAGTGGTGGAAAAAGTGCTCAGTTTTGTTACTTGAATAAAAGTGCAGACACCGGATCCAAAAATCTCAAGTAAAAGTAAAAGTATCACATGAAAAAATCTATTTAAGTAAAAGTATTAAATTACCAGTTTAAATGTACTTAAAGAGTAAAAAGTTGAAGTATTTTGCCCAGAGTTTGAAATCTAATAAAGCTTCAAATGTAGTGATTTTGACACATATTTGTGCTGAATTCTGAACAGAAACGATTGAGTTCATATTTATTCGTAGCTGTTTTTATTTGTATATTTTAGTTTGCTCAAATTATGAACGTGTAAAAAAAAACCTCAGCCTTTTCAGACAATAATGAAAAAAACATTTACTTTTCAGTCCTCTTTAAACATATAGTGCAGTATGAAGTACAGGTACCTACCTCTCAAATGTAGTGAAGAAAATGTAAAAAAAAAGTACAAATACTTAACATTTTTACTTCAGTACAGTATTTTTACGTTACTTTACTGGTCCTGATAAGAATAGTTGGTGAAAAAAAGATGACACATTTTGTATTTCTGCTTGAGCTGGTTGTCGTTGGTTAGTTTGATGAGCAGAGGCTGTGTGATGGTCTGGGTCTGAGTTTGTGGAGTCGCAGATGTGACTCATTCAAGTCAAAGTAAAACTGCTCCCGGCCACGTTCAAACTACAGCTGGGTCCGACCTCTGACTTCAACTTGAACCTGGTTTAGTCCTGCTTCAGACCTGGTTTAGTCCTGGTTTAGTCCTGTTCAGACCTGGTTTAGTCCTGTTTTTGACTTGATTTAGTCCTGGTTTAGTCCTCTTTCAGACCTGATTTAGTCCTGTTTTTGACCTGGTTTAGTCCTGTTTTACTCCTGGCTTAGTCCTCTTTCTGACCTGGTTTTTTACTCCTGTTTTGAAACCTGGCTTAGTCCTGGTTTAGTCCTCTTTCTGACCTGGTTTACTCCTGTTTTCGACCTGGTTTAGTCCTGGTTTAGTCCTCTTTCAGACCTGGTTTAGTCATGTTTTTGATCTGGTTTAGTCCTTTCAGACCTGGTTTCCTGTTTGACCTGGCTTAGTCCTCTTTCTGACCTGGTTTATTAGTCCTGTTTCAGACCTGGCTTAGCCCTGGTTTAGTCCTCTTTCAGACCTGGTTTAGTCCTGTTTCAGACCTGGCTTAGCCCTGGTTTAGTCCTCTTTCAGACCTGGTTTTGTCCTGTTTTTGACCTGGCTTAGTCCTCTTTCTGACCTGGTTTATTAGTCCTGTTTCAGACCTGGCTTAGTCCTGGTTTAGTCCTCTTTCAGACCTGGTTTACTCCTGTTTCAGACCTGGCTTAGTCCTGGTTTAGTCCTCTTTCAGACCTGGTTTACTCCTGTTTCTGACCTGGCTTAGTCCTCTTTCTGACCTGGTTTATTAGTCCTGTTTCAGACCTGGCTTAGTCCTGGTTTAGTCCTCTTTCTGACCTGACCTTCTCAAGGTCAGGTCAGGTCAAGTCGTCTGTCCTAATAAAACTGTCAAACATTCACAGGACTGAGCTCTGCTGTCAGACAGGGTGGGTGTAGTGCCAGAGATGAAGGCAAACTGAGACTATAGTCATATCAATTAACAATTAAAATCTAATTAAATATTCTGGATGGTGAAAAGTCCTGAAAATGGCATTAAAAAAATCGAATTCAATCACTGAAAATTGAGTTAATGACTAATGAACCAAAACCCTTCACCTGCTGTGTGTCTGTGTGTGTGTATGTGTCTGTGTGTGTGTGTGTGAAGTAGAGGACAGGATTTTTTTTATGAGAACTTGTTGAATATTTGATGATAATTCAGTCTAAATTCTGTGTGTGAGACAGGAGCATGTTCTTTCTACATTATTTATAATCTCAACCACAGAGACAAGTGCACACCACAGTGAACGCACCACAATATGAGGGTAATAAAGACTCAAACTGGAGGATACTGGTCAAAAACAACCAAATACTAATATAGTTTTAAGTGCACTAGGTAACTTTTTGGTTGGTTGGCTTTAAAAAGACCATGTAAACACTTAATTCTTAATGATTATTCAGAATTAAACTTATTCAGAATTGAACTTAAATCTGAATTAAGTGGGTGGTTTATTCCGATTTTAAAACCGAATTAATTTATTATGCGATTATGTAAACTTAAAAAATAATTCCGGTCATTCATGTATGTGCGTTGGGTCGCAATTCTGACACGATGATGCACTGCAATATGGTGAAAAAAGTTTGTATCATGTTTGTGTCCCCGGTGAATATGTAATTGCGAAAGATACCTCTGTTCCCCGTTAACACCGCAAGCTGTTCTCATCCCAAGTAATCATCATGAACTCATAAAACAGCAGCATGTAGAACTTTGTACAAACTCACCACACAACAGCGGTAAAAACATGGGGACACTCACCATAGCGTACAGCCCGTCCTTAGTCTTGTGCCGTCCTCCGAGCGGGTTGGTCAGACAGGTCCATAGGCTCAGTCCTCCATGTCCTGGTTCCATACGTGGCCGAGCAAGACTAGTGGATCTGTGCTGTGAAAGTGAGAAAGCGTGTGGACTACAGGTCTGCGTGGGCCGCGGGCTGCTCCTGTCCTCTGTACTCGAGGACTGCGGCTGGTACCGAGGTGGTGCAAAAACATCCAGATGTGAATCCCGGTAGACATAAATCTGTTCATGTTCCTGTCCAATCAGAACCCTTTCCCACCCCCAGACATTCAGCAGAATTTAATAAAGCTGATTTAACGTGTTTTCCTTAATTCGGAATTATTATTTCCATGTAAACTCAAAGGAGAATAATTAAATTCTGAACTATTTAATTTGGAACAATCATGTTAATGGGGCCAGTATGGTATTAAACAGCTCAGCCTTACATTTATTAAATTACAGGTGGTTTCATAGCTAAAAAAAATACCTAGAAAAACAGACTTCTGACTCGCCTCTCCACAGATCTGACCTGTAACCTGGTCTGGTTTGGTCTCCATGAAGATAAAAAGCTTTAATACCATACTGTGAAACATTCCAGACATTGCAACAGCAGAAAAGCATTTGACAGACCCTCCACCACAAAAGTTACACAATGTACCTTCAAATATTTACATTTCACCAACTTTGTACAGTTTGGTCCTTTTACTCACCAAGGTCCAGGCCCAGCAGCTACATAAAGTCATTTCCTCTTCTGTACAAACACAAGTATCTAGTGTCTCTCAGGCTTCTGAACTCTGAAGTTGATTTTATTGTATTAACCCAACAAAAGCAAATGTACTTTTCTTTAAAACAGATCCCACTGGTTCTCCCACTGCCCCCATGCTCAAGTCCATAGTTTATTTTTCTATCACAGAATTCAAAGTCTCTCTTAAGGTCCCACCTGCTGCTGTGACCTCTTCAAAATAACCACTGTTCAGGATTTCGCAAAATTCTGCTTTATTTACGTAACAAAACTCACACAATAGACACTGTTTACAGAGAAAACTAAACTCAAAGACTCTCTGATGCTTTGTCTAGAGCTGAAGACAATGGGGCGCGCCGTTCATTTGTTTTTATAGGTGCTTAATACACACAAAAATATTTTACCTCGGGTTAGGTTTAGGTTCTTCTCTACACGAACCTGGTTTAGTAATGTTTCAGATCTGGTTTTAATCCTGATTTAGTCCTGTTTCAGACCTGGTTTAGTCCTGTTTCCAACCTGTTTCAGACCTGATTTAGTCTTGGTTTAGTCCTGGTTCAGACCTGGTTTAGTCCTGTTTCCAACCTGTTTCAGACCTGATTTAGTCTTGGTTTAGTCCTGTTTCTGACCTGGCTTAGTCCTGTTTCAAACCTGTTTTAGACCTGATTTAGTCTTGGTTTAGTCCTGTTTCTGACCTGTTTCAGACCTGGTTTATTAGTCCTCTTTCAGACCTGGTTTAGTCCTGGTTTAGTCCTGTATCAAACCTGGTTTAGTCCTGTTTCTGACCTGTATCAGACTTGGTTTTGTCCTGGTTTAGTCCTGTTTCAGACTTAGTTTAGTCCTGTTTCAAACCTGGTTTAGTCCTCCTTCTGACCTGTTTCAGACCTGGTTTAAACTTTAGTCCTGGTTTTATTCCTGTTTCAGACCTAGTTTAGTCCTGATTTAGTCCTGTTTCAGACCTGGTTTAGTCTTGATTTAGTCCTGTTTCAAACCTGGTTTAGTCCTGATTTACTCCTGTTTCAGACCTGGTTTAGTCCTGATTTACTCCTGTTTCAGACCTGGTTTAGTCTTAATTTATTATGCATATGTAGATTAGTCTTGTATATGATGAACATGATGATGCATTTATTTATGTGCTATATAAAATAAAGACACCCAAAGTGCATTAGGTTTAGTTTCTTGAATTCAGAAAACGTTTTTTGTGTCTGTTGGTTGGTGAAACTCTGCAGAACATGTTATAGTGAATTTGAAGAGACAGGCCTCAATAATTTAACCCCAGAACATTTTTAGAGCTGTCAGAACGAACAGATCAGAAACCACAAACCAAGACTGTCACACCAAGTCACTTCATGTCCTCTTTCACTTTTCTACCTCACCAAAAGATTCTCGTGAAGGTTTATGGAGTTTAAAAACGCAGTGGCACAGGATGTTTTCTGAGACCCATCCCCCACTCTGCTGCAGTCAGTTTCTCTGTTTCTTATACTTATTCTCTTTCTCTTCTCTGTTATGTGTCTGCAGCTGGCTCGCTCATGTCCCATCGCTTCGTCACAGTGCGCAGGGGGAGTCCAGCGGCGCGTAGTGGGCACATCCAGCCCGGGGACCACCTGGAGGGGGTGGAGGGGCGGCCGGTGGGGGGGCTGCAGCACCGGGACCTGGCTCAGATCCTCAGGAGAGCAGGCAATACCCTCCGGCTCACCATTGCACCACGCCACAGTAAGGACCACAATTAAATTACCCTGTTAGTTCCGCCCACTTAGTCCTTTCACGCATTATAATAGAAATACATGCTTCTCATTCAACATGTTTAGCAGTAGCAGTTTTTACAGCACACTGCAGTCTGAAGATAGAAATTACATGTACAGGGCCTTTACAAGTAACTGAATTCAGAATTAAACCAGGACTAAGGCTGGATAGGACTAAATCAGGACCCTCTTCTCTCCTCCAGATAGTCCAGCGACAGAGGGGGCAGACTTGGACATCGATGGACGTGTCATCAGGAGCTCCAGATCCAGAGCAAAGGTACTCAACAGAGGGACTCCAAGGGTTAAATCTCTCCTCTCTGACAGTACCTCATACCTGTTCTGATTAAAACTGTGTCTCTCCCAGGAGGAGGGTCGGTTCTACAGTGTGGATCTGGAGCGGGGGCCCACTGGATTCGGCTTCTCTCTGAGGGGGGGCTCTGAGTACAACATGGGGCTGTATGTTCTGGGACTGATGCAGGGAGGTCCCGCACAGAGGAGCAACAAGATACAGGTAAAATACATCACAGTGAATATTATTGTCATCAAGTTAGTAGCAAAACGTTGGCTGCAAAAGTTTAGTAAGTCCAGTTGTTTTGATTAAAGATTGACAGTTCTGCGTCAAATCTACCTGACACACATGAAGGCCAATCAGAGAGTCTAATGTCATTGTTTATTGGACCCTGATTAGCTCCACAGTTTGTATGGTTCAGTTCTGCGTCTGGACATGAGCTCTCAGCTGAGCCGGGCCTGGTGCAGGACTATAAAGCAGCCTTAACTTGGTAACAATATCTTATCCCTGTCCCGTGTCTCAAGATTTGCTTCAGTTGACACAGTGAATATTCAATATATCGTATTTTCTGCACTATAGGGCACTCTGGATTATAAAGCGCACTGTCATTGAATAGTCTATTTTCAAACTTTTTTCACATATAAATCATACCAAACTATACGGCGCATTAAACGAAACATTTAGATGGGTCAGTCGGACTTTGTTTGGCACGTTCACTGTGACTCTCAGCTTTGTTAAATTGTGGCGTGTAGCGAGGGCGCTGTCTGGGACCGCTGGATTGTTGGCATGTTCGCAGTGTTCAGTTGTGGCTAGAAGTGAAACATTGCACTCGCTTTTTCGGTTCGTTCCTCTGTTCCATTCCTCGTCCGCGTGGAGTGATGAGTGTGGCTGCGGGTGTTTTTCGCTGTGTGGTCGCTGTCTGCTCCGTGTGTGTTTGCGTGCGCTGCGGGTGGTGCGGTTTTGTAGTTTACTGAAGTCATGCTGGGACACCCGAGTGGATTCGTGTATAGGGCGCTCTGGATTGCGGGGCATGCAGTCGTTTTTTGTTGGGGTTGGAGCCTTATGAGTGCACCCTATAGTGCTGAAAATTTGTTATTTATTGCTACTACTACTAGAACTCCAAATATTAAAATTTAAGTTTTATTTCTGTCCCAGGTCTCAGATCAGTTGGTGGAGATTAATGGAGACAGTACAGCAGGAATGACGCACTCTCAGGCTGTGGACCAGATCAGACGAGGAGGGAACCACATCCACCTGGTGTTGAAGAGGGGCAACGGATATGTGCCGGACTACGGTAGGACTAGAACAGGACTAAACCAGGGCAAAACCAGGACTAAACCACGGCGAAACCACGAATAAACCAGGACTAAACCAGGGCTAAACCAGGACTGATTCAGGACTAAACCAGGGATAAAACAGGACTAAACAAGGACTAAAGCAGGACAAAACCAAGAATAAACCAGGATTGAACCAGGACTAAACCAAAGTCTAAACCAGGATTAAACCAAGTCTAAACCAGGACGAAACCAGGACTAAACCAGGACGAAACCAGTATTAAACCAGGACTATACAAGGACGAAAGTAGGACAAAACCAAGAATAAACCAGGGCTAAACCAGGATTGAATCAGGAATAAACCAAGAGCTAAACCAAGAGCTAAACCATGACTAAACCAGGACTAAACCAGGACTAAACCAGTTCTAAACCAATTACTAAATGATGCTGTTTTAAAACATGATTAACAAACTAAAACAAGATTTTGCAGGGTAAAACAAGCACTCTTGTAATTCTAAGTTAATTTATTCTATTTTAGTTGCAGTATTTTTTGTAATCGAGTTTTAATTGCAATACATTTGATTAACAGTACACCCCCTAACTGAGACCATACAGGATCAGCTAAGGCCCAAACCTAGACTCACCACATCCACGTCCAGTCTATACTAAACTAGGAACTAGGATGCCTTCTTCTTCTCATCTTTTGTATCTTTTCTCTTCTTTTCGTCCTTCACTTCCTGTTTTTCCCCCTGCACTTCTCCTCCTTGCCTATCAGTGGAGCTGTCGAGCCTGTCTCTGTGCATGACCAACTCCAAACAGGGCGAGCCGTGTTTCTACGTCATCGGCCGGACGGACAACTCGCGGTTTGTGACTCCAACCCCTTCTTCTCAAATTTCAACTTTACTTCATCACCTATCTCTTTATCTACTCTTTTGTCATCACTAGCTACTGTTAAAATCTTGGGACGTTCTTATCGTTAAGATGCAGTTGAAAATAGCACCTTGGTATGTATGTTAGTTTATCCGCATTTTAACATAGAGAAGTAATGATAGTGGAAAATGTAAAAACGAATACATGGCTTAAAATGACATGCAAAAATCTTGATATAAGCAGTTTTGACTTATACAAATATATACAAAATATATTTCAAGCAACAAGAAATAATAAACAAATACGGAAAATATTGGTCAAACAAGATTACGTATTTTAAAGGTGCATTGTGTAACTTTTTGGTTGGGATTGGTTTGGTTGCTTGTTTCTATGGATATATCATTGTTCAGCCTGGAATGTTCCATAGTATGACTTTAAACAGCTCTCTCTACCTTACATTTATTCAATTATAGGTGGTTTTATAACTCAAAAATAGGCACTCTAACTATTTTTGTAGGGTTGCCTCTCCACAGATCTGACCTGTAACTTGGTCTGGTCTCCACGAAGATAGAAAGGTTTAATGCCATACTGTGAAACATTCCCGGCAAAGCAATAACATCTCCACAGAGGAAAGCATTTGACGGACTCGCTGAAAAGTTACACAATGCACCTTAAAGGGAAAGTTTGGAATTTTGGGCACAGGACCTCATTTCCTAGTGAGCCAGAGTGTTGGAGATGTGTGTAGGCACTTTTTTAAATATTCCATCCAGTCGTTGTATTTGCAGAGGTCACTGGTGCTAGGCTAGTGCATGTCAATGGCCATAGTTATACTGCCACTAAAAACAGACTTACCCACTCCACAAAACACCAGAAGCAAAACAATTATTACACCAGACCCTCGATGTAAATGTCTGTGTCAATAGAATAATTTTAGAAGTAAAACCAACTTTGCATTTGAAGGATTTATGTCAGCAGCAGCAGTGAGTTGTACTTCCTGATAGAAAATTTGACAGCGGCAGATTGATATATGAGAAAATAGTCTCTCAACATGCGACGATTCATGCGATGTAAGGCTAGTTTCACAGACATTCACATCGACAGTCTGGTGTAATAATAGATTTGCTTCGGGTGTTTTGTGGAGTGGGTAAGACTGTTTTTAGTGGCAGGATAACTATGACCATTGACATGCACTAGCCTAGCACCAGTGACCTCTGCAAATACAACGACTGGATGGAATATTTAAAAAAGTGCCTACACACATCTCCAACACTCTGGCTCACTAGGAAATGAGGTCCTATGTCTAAAATTCCGAACTGTCCCTTTAAACAGGTCAAAACTTTTAAACCAAGATGATTTACATAAGAAATACTTATTACAGCAAAGCCTAGTGGTCATTTGTGGAACTGCAGTTGAGTGATGGTGTGTTTTTGACGCAGGCCCTGAGGAAGGAGCTCTCTCCCCCTCCACCCCCCCACCGCAAGAACCAGACTCCATCCTGGCCGCCGCCGGTACCACCATAGAACCAGGAGGAGGAAGAGAGGGAGAGAGGAGTGCTAAGAGGAACCGAGAAGAAACCAGAGCAAAACTAAGGCCCATTGTCCCAGACTTAGACCTGGACACGGTGGACCAAGAACCCCACCATAAGAGCCAAAAGCACCGCAAGAGGAGCGAGAAGAACCAGGAGGAGAGGGGGAGAGGCAGCCGGAGTTTACCCAGGAACACAGTGTCGTCCTGGGATGAAAAGGGTGTGGAGAAGACCCTGGAGGAGGAGGAGAGAAGGAGGACCAGAAGTGTATCCAGGAACAGAGCACCATCCTTGGATAGAAGTTTAACAGAAGAGGGTCGATGGAAGAACCAGGAGGAAGAGGAGGAGGGGAGGAGTATCCGGAGTGCGCCCAGAAATAGAACAACCTCCTGGGGTGCATCTATAGCGGAAGAGAGCGTGGTTCCAGCGGTCTCGGAAAAGAAGCGTCGAAGCAAGCGCAAAGAGGCGGCCGTTTTGAAAGACAGCGTTAAAACGGTGAAGGATCGCGAGTCAAAGCGAACCTCCGAACCCTTTTCCTTCCTGATGCCGCGTGATGAAGAACTGCTTTCCGACAGCGAATCAGCGGCCAGCTTCTCCGAGGTCAGCCAGTCCGCCGCCAGTATCGCGTGGAGGGAGGATTCAGATTGGAGGAGGGAGGATTCTTATTGGAGGAGGGAGGATTCTGATTGGAGGAGAGCGGATTCGAACTCGCCGCCGGGTCGATGGCTCAAGCCCAGCCCCCAAAAACTGACCCAGGTTCTGATTGGCTCGCGGCTACATGGGCAGAGCCTGGTGGGAGGGCTCTCACTCTGAGCTTTTATAAAGACTACATAAAGGGCTCATGTTTTTGTTTTTTACTCTTCAGCTTTGGCTGCGCTGGACTGTTCAATAGCAGCTCACTTTAACTCATCGGAGGGTCTGGACTCGGGCTCAGAGGTTTAAAGTGGAACTCAGTAACTTATTTTTATTTTATTTTTATTTTGGTTTTCCCCCATTTTAACAGCTGATTGCGTAACTGTAATTTGCCACTTTGGTGCACTGCTTAACATTTCTACTGAAGGGTTCGCCACCTGCTTGTCTCCATGGAAATATTATTGCTTTGTCTAGAATGTTCCACAGTATGCTGCCCTACAAACTCAAAGACCTTAACTCGCCAGAGTGTGAAACTGAGAAAAATGACTTCAAAGTTTCTGTTTTGTCTAGACAAAAGTATAATAGGAAGGGCTCCCATAATTTGACAATTAGTTGCTATAATGAAGAAATATTTGTATGAGAAAAATCTTAAACTTAAAACTGACCTTTGACTCTTATTTGTCAGTTCCTGTATCATGAGCCAAAAATAAGGAGTCGTGCTAAGGCAAAAGGCAGAAACTATAACATGATCATTATTTGCTTGATTTTCCCCAGACTTCCATCCATTATACGAACACCTCACCAAGTTCGAGTCATCATGGGGTTTGTTTGAAATGATACAAAAGTGCTTTGGATTTCCTGTTTAGTGCTGATCAGGAACATGCAATGACACTTACACAGTTAAACAGTTTGACAGACAAGTGACTTTGCAGCATACTATAAATAAATACACAAAATACTTTCACATTAAAGATAATTTAATTGAATAAATAATAATTGAATACAAAGGTATATTTACTTACAGTGTTAAGACCCTGTGACAAGACCACAACAAAAAGAAGGAGGGGAGAGGTTGGATATTAAAATAAAATATACAGTATTTATGAACTAAATCACAAACAAAACATACACTGTTACTGCCTTTTTTCCTTTGCACGACTCCTTATTTTTGGCTCTTGATACAAAGACAAAGTACAGTAATTGACAAATAAGGGTCAAAGGTTAATTTCAAGCTCAATATTTTTCACAATATTTATTCATTATGATAAATGAGGTCTCAAATACCCCCAAAATGACATTAAATAATTTTTGACAAAACATGATGTTACAGAGTTTTGCCTTTTTAGGGTAGAATAGACCACACCTATCCTGATACAAGCTGGTTTCAGCACTACGCTACATTACAAGTCAGATCTGTGGAGAGTCGTCTCTATTCACAGAGGTAATTATTGTATTTTCGAGCAATAGAAACACCGGTAATGAAGAAATATCATAACATGGAACATTACAGGCAAAACAATAACATCTCCGTAGAGACAAGTAGATAGCAGACTCTGCACCAGAAAAGTTGCGCAGTGCACCTTTAAACTTGCTGACACTCATAATTTAAAGTGTCCCAGACTGAAAATTAAAGTAGAAAAGTTACTGACGTCTGCTTTAAATCGTATTTTTATAATCAGTAGCAGCACAGCAGTGGTTTTGCTGGTTGTATTAAAATAAATATCAACATAGCTTTTTATCGATGTTGGCAGCTGATTGGTCGGTTATTGGTTTCAAATTTGTTCAAAGCAATAATCTTTAGAACGAACTCAAGAAAATAGCCAGAAAGACTTGAAGCAATACAGACATTTTATATTGAACTTTTGGATGTGTGTTTAAATATGAAAGTTAATATATGGGAGTCTCATCTATGCATATCCATAAGCAGAGAATCACACGTGTTTTCACTTTGAGTCAGTGCAAGTTTGGAGAGATACACTGCAAAAGGTCTGCGTAAAGGTGCACTGTGTAAGCCAACTGCTCGTCTCCATGGAGCTGTTATTAAATTTAGTTTGTTTATTTCATTCATTAAGTATAAAAAGACATAAACAGTGTGTAAATGTACAATAAATGAATGAAAACTAGCAGAAAAAAGAGAAATTGTATGTTATCTGCCACCTTTTCCAGACAATACATGAACACTGATAGTTACTTTTAGACATTTCAAGTCAGTACATTTCATTTACTGCTTTGTTTGGAATGATCCACATTAAAGCTTTAAACTATGTAACTAAATATCTCCATGACGATAAGCAAAAATGAAACTATACGTCTAGATACAGGTCAGATGTGTGTTTTTCATAGTATTTGTCAGCAATAAAAACGCTGTAATGGAATAAATGCAAAATAGACAAGTTTAAAACCTCACTGTGGAACATTTCAAGCAAAACAATCACATCTCCATGGAGACAAGCAGGTGGTGGACCCTCTACTAGTAAAGTTACACAGTGCATCTTTAAGAAAAGTGTTTGAACTGTGAAAACTAACTGAGATACATTTTGTATTACTACATCTGCAGAAACTTTAGCATAAAAATATAGGTCTAATAAATATGAAATACATCTGTAATAAATTGCAACTCCAGACTTAAAGTTTTGGGTAGATACGCTGCAAAACGTCAGCTTAAGGGCGCACCGTGTAACTTTTCTTGTGGAGGGTACGCCAAGTGCTTGTCTCTACACTGTTGCTTTGCCTGGAATGTTCTACAGTAAAGCATTAAACGCAATTATCTCCATGATGATAAGGAGAAATGAAACTAGGCCTAAACACAGGTGAGATCTGTGGAGTGGCGTCTCAGATCTTGTAAGAAATAAGCAACAGGCAACCAAAAAGTTACACAGTGCAGCTTTAAGATTTCAAGTCGCTTATTTGCAGTGTTGTGGGGATGTGCACAGAAAAATAAGACATCAAAAAAATCATCCCATATTTTATTTGTTATTGATCTTTGAAGGACTTTTGTGGAGTCCCGTGTTAGACCCAGAACCTCTGCTGTGGCACAAAACCTGCTCTGAGTCCAGACCAAAAGAACAGTTGGTTTAAGTGAAATTATGCAAATCTCCGGTCTGTCTGAACAAGCCTGTGACCGATAATGAGACAGTTTAAAACAGTATTTTAAACAAAAATGTTCTTAAAAATTTATATATGGTTGTTTTGTATTATTGTTTCTTCATGAATTGATTTTTTTCTACCCCAGCTACATTCTTTATAATTTTGCTGGGGTTTTTTTGGTACTTTTTATGTCAAAGTTTCATAAAAAAAAATCTATAAAAAAATTATATATTCTTATCTGACATTAGAGTAGACACAATATTTATGTTTTGTTTTTTGTTTTTTATTTTTTTATTTTTTTTGCTTTCTTTGTAATGTTGGATTTATTATTATCATTATTATTATTATTATTATTATTATTATTATTTTGCTTTCTTTATAATTTTGGATCTTTTTTCTTTTTTGTTTTTAATTTTTTTTGCTTTCTTTATAATTTAGATTTTTCTTCTTTTTTTTTTTCTTTATAAATTTTGATCTTTTGAACAGCAATTTGACCTTTTTTTTTTTTTTTTTTTGACATGTCAACATTTTTAACATGTCCCCTCATGTCAAAACCAGCCACATATGGACCTATAGGCTATCTACATTTTACTCTAATATTACACTTATTTTGAATTTGTTCTCCACTATTTCCATTCCTCTGTCCTCATTGTCCATCACAGGCTTTGGCAGCACAGATCAAAGACTATGGGCGGCGTTGTTTAACCTGTGCATGTGAAAATGGAATGATTTATTTTTATAAAAACTGTACTCGCCTGTTCATACTAATCTAGAGATAGATTCTGCCTGCTTCTGCCTGAGATACGCCCTTTGACCTTTTCTGAATTTGAGCCATAAATACCCTCTTGTGTCCACGATGGCCGCCACCGCTGCAGCCCTCTGTGACGCGTGCGGACCCAAGACGGCCGCCGCGGATGAAAAGTGCCTCAATATTCACACTGCAAAACAGGAACATCTACATTAGGATAACCTGCATTTAGATTATTACTCTTAAAGGTGCATTGTGTAACTTTTCTGGTGGAGGACCCGTCAAATGCTTTTCTCAGATGTTATTGCTTCGTCTGGAATGTTTCACAGTATGGCATTAAACCTTTCTATCCTCATGGAGACTAAACCAGACCAAGTTACAGGTCAGATAAATGTAACATAAGCTGTTTAATGTCATACTGTGGAACATTCGAGGCAGAGCAATGACATCTCCGTAGAAACAAGCAGGTGACGTATCCTCCACCAGAAAAGTGACACGATGCACCTTTAAAATAAAACGGATAGTTATGGTAATTTGTCTTTATTTACTTTACTAATAAGATCTAACTCCGTAAATCAGGAGTCATATTCAGAATTAATCTCACTGAATCCATGTTCGTAGATGTTCCTTTTTTGCAGTGCAGCCTTGTCCAGTCTGCTGCTGAGGCCATAACTGCAGCTCAAAGCAAAACTATAAGAAAAGACAAACAATGTGGAGTTTACTGTTTAGCTGGAGGAGAAATGCCTAATTCATAATAAAGAGTGATGGGAAGAGTACTTTGAAAATACATTTAGCTATAGAACACTGAATACCTGCATTGAAATGTATTTTGTAGTGTGTTCTGTATTCTGAGAGCTTATAATACTTTCATGTAGAGTTGCATTTAAATGATAGTTTAAAGATTAGAGATGTAACGATTTCCAAATCTCTTGATACAATATTTTCACAATATACATCTCACGGTACAATATTTGCATTGAAAAAGCCTTTAGTTCTGTTATAATATGAAGAATTAAACTTTTTCACAACAGCTATTTCTTCACATTGTCTGCGCTAATAACACCAAAGGATTATGGTCTATGTAGTTCCTTCTGTTTTTAGCTGTTGCTGCACCATAACAATGTGATTTCATATATTGTGATAGCCCGAGATATTATTGTGAGACTTTTGACGATACGAAATCGCCAGTAAATACTCCAAAAAGACTTAGTATTAAAAGCAGCTTAAGATTGCTTTACTATTTGTTATGCATTTTATATCACTCGTTGCAGAAAGAAAAACTACAAATGCACATACTATAAGAGTGATGTTAACTATATTTTCTCACTGATTATGGTTCAGATTGAAATCAAATTGTGTGACCAAATACCGCTATGTATTCCTTTGATTTTAGAAAAGTAACACTGTAATTTGAATACAACCAAACTATACTGGAATAGTATTAAATTAGTATCTGAGTTTGTATTCTTTGTAAATTTATTCACTTCCCAATTCTGATAATAATATAAGAATTCTATTTTTTGCTCTAACCCCTGATCTCTGCATTTTTATTTACACAAACTAACTTCTGTATCCAAATATTTCTTCTTTGGCACCTCTCATTTCCTGGCAGCTCTATTTAAAGGTGCACTATGTAACTTTTCTGTTGGAGGTCCCGTCAAATGCTTTTCTTAGATGTTATTGCTTCATCTGGTATGTTTCACAGTGCGGCATTAAACCTTTCAACCAAGTCACAGGTCAGATCTGTGGAGAGGCGACCCCACTCACTGTCAGAATCCCTGTTTTACTGGGCATTTTTGAGCTATAAAAGCACCTGTAATTGAATAAAAGTAAGGCAGTGCTGTTTTCATATCATATTATTGTGGAATATTCCAGGGAGAGCAATGACATCTCCGTAGAAAGAAGCAGGTGACGGACTTCCAAACAAAAAAATTACATCGTGCACCTTTAACGTTACTATTTCACCCATATAAACATTTGCCCACTAATCATTTGAGTCTGGACATATCTGACTTTATTTATTTATTATGACAGGTCTCTTCCCCACCACAAACAGCCCCTAACCTGAACTCCTGTCTGCTCCTCCAGCTACGCAGTTATCCAGCTCTGAACCTAAAACCAGCCGATAAAACCCCTTCTATAAACCCACCAGATTTTTATCGAGAATGACAAATATTATAACACTAGATATGAATGATTTTATGAGAGTTGTATGTAAAAGTCCCTGTCGATGTTTTGGGTTTTTTACCATAACATTGTTAGCAGGGAGTATAGAGATACTATTTATTACAGAGACAATTTAGAAATGAATACATGTTTAAGAGATTCCAGCAGCAGACGTGAACCAGCCTTATTCTGAGATTCAAACTTTGCCAAATTCAATAAAAACCTGTGATGTCAGATCTGCCGAATGTGTCCTAGTTTCAATGGGATGGGAATTTCAATGGGGAAATGATTTAAACTGTGAGAGTTTAAATTATTGTTGTAAAAATATACACAGGAATGAATGTAATGAATTGTTTAAAATTTGACTATTACAGCACGCTGCTATAATTTGTACATTCAGAATCAAAACTGACCCATTATCTTCTTTTTAGCCTCCACTACAATAATAGACACAAAAATGACTCATGAAAATGAACAGGTTGACAATTTGCCGTTTATACAGCCCATTTACTTATATTGGCTCGACAGAGAAAAGACTGTTTTATGTTTTGTTTAGAAATTTTGCAGTCTCACCATTTTCACCTTTATGTCAACCTATGAACAAAAAAGGGCACAAAAATCACTCATTGTTTGACATACATCATTTTCCTGTTGACCCACATCACTCTTACGCCCAAACAAACACGACACAAAGAAGAATGATTATTTTAAAACATTTATTTAGACAAAAACACTGCAGGTCAATTTTAATTTTTACTTAACTTTTTATATACATTCTTATCTTATTAAGACAAATAAATATCTCAGAAACAAAAAAGAGATTGCAAAAAAAAATCATTGGTTAATAAATACACTGAAGCACAAATTCCCTCTTGTAACAGTGGTAGCTTTAACAGCCTGTTGGCTTGGAACAAATGAGTTCACTTGAGAGTAGATATTGCATAATTTACCATTTGATGTAAAAATAAAACTAAAGTCTGATATTTTTGTAACATACTTTACAACACAAACAATATTTCAACAACACAGATGTAACCTGATGTATTTAAATGATGCCATACTATTTTCAGAAACATAATGCCCTGAAAAGACATACAATTCTTTACAGAACTTTGCTTAAATATTTGTGTATCTACTTCTCTTCTCTGATTCAATCACAGACTCACACGGCCTTGAGTCTGCTCACGAACCACAGCTCCACAAAGAAACAGAAATACAGGGAGGAATGCGTCGCAAACTGCAGCTGTGCACGGGTCAGCTGAGTCCAAAGTGAAGTGGGCTGTTTCAGGGGCAGGTCCACAGGTGCAGCAGCTCAGGGTCCACCAGGCTGTTTTTCAGAGGCAGGTCCACCGACAGGTCAGGGGGAGGGGCCTGGACCCTGTGGCGGGGGGGTCGTCTGTGAGGGATGGGGAGTTCAGAGTGGTGTGAGGGCAGAGGCGGGGTGAACAGGTAAGGGTGCAGCAGTGCCTGAGGGACAAAGCCATTTTAGAGAACGACACGATGTAGATACTATTATTTTAACCTAGAGGGCGCATGAGAGCACTGTCTGATTTAAAAGAGGGTGATTTATTAGAGGTCCTACATTACACAAAATTGGCTCATGTACGATGTTATTGCTTTGTCTGGAATGTTTCACAGTGTGGCATTAAACCCTTCTATCTTCAAGGAGACCAAACCAGACCAAGTTACAGGTCAGATCTGTGAAGAGTCCTGTTTTCCTAGATGTATTTGAGCAATAAAACCACCTGTAATTGAATAAATGTAGAGTAGAGCTGTTTAATGCCATACTGTGGAACATTCCAGACAGAGCAGTTACATAGCCGTTCAAAGAAGCAGGTGAAGGACCCCCAACCAAAAAGCTACACAGCGCACCTTTAAAATAACTCGTACCTGTTTGGCAGAGCAGCGTTGCTTGGACGGATAAACCAGGAACTTGCAGAGAAGGTCCAGAGCCTGAGGAGAAGTGTCTGGGACGATCTCCTCCAGTGGGATCGGGGGGTTGTCCTTAAATGTGATCTTATTGTAATCAGGTAACTCCACCATCTCCTGCAAAACACAAAGCACATCACAATGCCAATTAGCAATATTCATGGGTTTAAAGGTCCTATATTATGCAAAATTGACTCTTGTGAACTTTAAGTCATGTTATAATGCTGTTTCCTCATCACAAACTTACCTGGAGTTGTGTTTTGTTTCATTCATTAGTTATTATTAGTCTGTCTACATGTCCAAAGCTAAAAATGCTCTGTTCCACCTTGTGATGTCATGACACTGTGGCCTTCAAGTTAACAGCTACCTTTTACCTTTAGTTCAGTACGGATTGGCAGTTCCAGGGCTGAAATTATTTTAGTTATGGTGAGAAAAACAAAGTGGCACATTTCCTGTTTTGCCACATGACATTACAATGTGGAACAGGGTGTTTTCTGTCTGAGAGAAGAACTAAATATACAGGGTTTGTGTGTTAAACACGTGTAAATGAAACAAAACACAACTCCAGGTTTGTTTGTGATGAGGATGCAATATCATAACACAGATCAGAAAATAGTTCCTTTTAAGGTAAATTATTACTTTCTATTACTTTCACATTACACATTCCCTTAATTTGAAAAGCTCGGATATAGCTTATATATTTCCTGGTCCTGTTGCGAGTCAGTACTGTTATGTCTGAGAAGCAACTAAATTATAAGATTTACTGACATTTTGGTGAGAGAATTCCTTAGTATAACTGATTTACTGGTGTAAAAGTCGACTTACCGGCCATGTCTCTTGAGTGGGTGTCCCTAACACTCTCAGCACACAGCACAGTTGTTCAATGTCATTCTCTCCGGGAAACAGAGGAGAGGAGTTCAGCAGCTCCCCAAATATACAGCCCACTGCCCTATAACATGACAAACACAGATTATTCTATATCATGCTTCTCAGTCACAAGGAGCTTGTGAGTCATCAGCCGCAAGCATAGATTGTATAAAGAAGTGGACTAAGAGAGTGTGACATCACCCGTGGCCTTCAGCTCCAGTCAGATGTTGCATTGTTTAACTTTTGTGGTAGAGAGTCCGTCAAATGCTTTTCTCCATGGAGACGTTATTGCTTAGTCTGGAATTTTTCACAGTGTGGCATTAAGGCTTTCTATCTTTATGGAGACCAAATCAGACTACAGGGTTCCCACTCTTTATCACTAACAAAATTTCTAAACTTTTTCATGACCTAAAGTGAATTTTCCATGACTTTACGGCACCTACATGTGTAGAATTGATCAAACTTTTAGGGCTAAATATGAAATGTTAACCCTTTCCACTCACCTTATGGTTTGGTATTACAGTTTTTTAACATTCAAAATACTGTCAGTGCATTTATTGTTGTCTCTGTCGTCTCAAAAGGTGCATACATTTGGAAATAATCATGATAGCCTAATGATAACTTAACAGAATGCTGTAGTTAAGTGAAAGAGATACTAAAATTCCATGACTTTTCCAAAACTTTCACTGAAATTCCAATACTTTTCCAGGCCTCAAAAATGACGTATTCAATTTCCAAGATTTTTTCAGAATTTCCATGACCGTGGGAACCCTGAGACCAAGTTACAGGTCAGCTCCAGTCAAATGAAGCTCAGAGAGGCAAGCAGTTAAAGGGGAGAATTTGGAGCAGTGTTCCATAATAGGAATAGGAATTTATTTATGAACAAAATAGCGAAATAAAAACACCAGGATCATGTAGAGCAGGTTAATATAAACATTTTAAGATCAAAATGACAAGGCTGAATGCAGCAGTTACAGAGAGAGGGGTGACAGTTTTTCATTGTGAAGTCCATTGAAGTCAGAGTCAGTGGAGCCGGAAGTGTCCCCCCATGCTCACTTCCTATTTCGAACACAGCAGCTAGTGGATTAGGTGTGTCCATTTATATACAGTCTATGGTCCTGAGGCTAATTAGAGTTTTGAGTATGTCCAGGCCAAAACTGCTCACCAGAGGTCCACTCCTTCGTCATATTTTCTGGCTCCATAAAGCAGCTCAGGAGCTCGATACCATCTGAAAAACAGAGGGTACAGTGGTTTTCATTCATACAGACATAACTTGGCAGATGTGAAACAAGAGCGTATAAAGAAGTATTGTGTTCTGTACCTGGTGGCGACCTGGTGGCTGTAAAGTCTCTCCCCCTGCTCACTCAGGAGTCTGGCCAAACCAAAGTCTGCAATCTTCAAATGTCCAGAGGAGCTGATGAGGAGGTTTGCTGGCTTCAGGTCCTGCATACAAGAAGAATACAAGAATAAAATAAATTGGTAAATGGTTGCACTGATGGGTTATATCTTGCCAAAGAACAAAGCAACATTAAACACCCGTGGGAACTGGAATCGACCAACTCTGAGGTATTATACTACATGCTGATACTATAATAACAATGACTACTCCGCCGGTCAGATACACATGGGGGATCCTGGCTCATATCTGGTCCTGTTTCTTAACTGTTTCTAACAATTATACTGTAGCGCAAATAGCAGTAACAGCAGTAATATTTGCAGCAGTAGCATTAATTATACACAGTGGAAATAGTGTAGACATACCCTGTGCATGATGTTGTTGTGGTGCAGAAAGGTCACGCCCTTCAGCAGCATCATCATGTAACCTTTGACCTGCGCTGGGGTCAGGGGTCGCTCTGAGTTTCTGATGACCTCCGAAAGGTCAGAGAGCATATAATCAAACACCAGCACAAAGCCCGTCCCATGAGGAAACACTGCCTTCAGCTTCACCACCTGAAACAAGAATATCATAGAACACAGATACAGAGGTTAGGTGCTCTCACTCACACCATCGCCAAGCTTCCTACTTCCAGACAGCTCTAATCTAGTCATCATCCTTCTGCCATCAACACAGTTACAGCTCCAATGACTCCAGTTCATTTTGTATTAAAAAAAAACAAAAAACGTTGCCCCTCTAACTGAAACTGCTGCTGTCAGGCTCCTCATCAATGGAGGGGTTGGCTGTTTTTGTGGCTGGCTCACACACTGAGCAGTTTTTGAAACTTTAGTTTTTTTAGCTCAGTTTTTAACATCTTATCATCGGATTTTAACCAGCTAAGAAGTGCAGCATGTGCAGCTCAAAGGAAACAAGTAAGGAGCAAGTTAGCTGTGGACATTTGAGTTGCTACAGGTTTTATATATCATATGTAATAGCAAATGTGGCAGAAGACCTTCAGTGGAAACATTTTGATGGAACGAACACAAAGGACTGGTGGATTGTGTGAAATAAATGAATGTTTGCTTTTTCCGTATCCACGGTGACCACACGAGGCTGTGGAGCTGGCTATGAACATTTGAGATGCTACAGGCTTTTTACACCATATGTGGAAGCAAATGTGGTAGAAGATCTTCAGAGGAAACACTTCCATCACCAACAGAAACACCAGAGCGGAGTAAGCATGAGGCTTCCTGTTGTGTTCACCTGGCTCCCCCTGCAGGCTGCTGTGATACTGCAGGACACAGAGGAGGGATATTTTTGACTCTGACCCTCCCCTGACCAATCCTCCTGTTAAAATGCACTGAGACATTGGAGTGAGACACAAAGGCCACTGAGAAGCACAGTGTGAATGTTGCAGCAACTGCAACTGCAACAGTTTGCTGCAGCAAAATTTGAATAGCCCTTGGGATCAATAAAATATCTCTCTCCATTGCATAAATCAGTAGGGATGCAACAATACGATGCTGGAATTGGATATAGATGAACTGGATACTGCTTCCAAGATCAGTTCAGTTGATATCCCAGTTTGGTCTATAAATTGTTGTGATAAGATGATTTACTGTCCAATGTTGGTCCAAAATGTCTCATATAATAAAATATTAAACTTGTATTTTTCCAGAGCTATTATAACACATTTGGATATTTTCTTACCATACGTTTGTGTTTAAAAGAAATAAATTACATATTCAGTCTCTGCCCTAGTATCTGTTGATATCGGGTATGTCCATTGTTATTGGAACAGAAAAAGCTTAACCAGTGCATCTCTACAATCAGTATTAAGAAATCTCACGTGCTGGTTGTCTTCGATCTCCTGCAGGGCCTTGATTTCTCTCAGAGCCTGGTTTGGGATCCCATCTTCCAACCTTCGCAGAGCCACTTTTTTCAGCGCCACAGTCTCTCCAGTCTGAGAAATAGGGTTTATTTATGACAACATCTATAAACGTAGCTACTAGACTTTTTCAACCTGCATTTCTTAGTCATGACTTTCAATTAAGGCCTAATAGAAAGACTGTCCTATAAATAAAATGTTTGTAATAGTTACCTCTATGTGTTTTGCCTTGAATACGATGCCGTGGGCGCCTTCACCAATACGCCCAAGGATGCTGTACTGCTCCATGTGGATCCGCAGGGTTAATAAACCCACGCTGGAGGATTTCTGGATTTTTTCCGAACAAATCTACGTTTCCATGGCAACCGAAATGCTAACACGGGAGCTAATGGCTAAAATTGCGGTAAAATCTCGTAAAATAAGCTTATAAGATGTGCGCGCCTGGTCCCACAATTTGTTAATAGCAATCCGATAAGTGTAGACTGTTTATTTTCGTTGATATTGCGTGCCAAATGTGTGCACGGACAGTGGACTGGCAAGTGCAAAAGACGAGGTCGCCATTGTTGTTTGGGTTTCTGCAGAGCTTCCTTTTCCACACGCGAAAACAGCGCCATCTACTGGGCGAAACTATTATTACTGTTACCATGGTTACGTGTTGCCCTTTTATAATTTTATGTAGTAAGTAAATAAACTATTTATTTATTTATAAATTAAATAATAAATACATAAAGTATAAAAAGACATCAACAGTGTCACAACATCAACATACAAGAAATGAATGAAAAGGAGCAGAAAGAAGAGTAATCTTATGTTATCTGCCCCCTTTTCCCTTTTCAGGACAATACATCAACACTGATAGTTACTTTAAAACATTTCAAATCAATAAATTTCAGTTCAGGCACAATTATCAATCAATTGCAAACAGAAATCTTCACTATTATACACAACAACCTAAGTTTTCTTTTTCATACATACACACTGCATTCTTTGTCAAGACTATTCCATAAGTTAAAGCCTTTTGCAGCAATGCTTTGCTCCATAACTTTGGTTCTGAATCTGGGTTTTTTGAACATGTAGGTTCCTTTTAAATTGTAGTGGCTTGTCCTTATCTCATACAGTCTTTGAATATTTACAGGTAATACATTGCACTTTACTTTATTCGTGACTTTGAAGAGACTTAAGTCAACAATATCCTGCATTTTCAACACTTTAAGTTGAACAAATAATGGGTTGGATGGCTCAGTGACTGTTGGTGATAATTCTCAAGGCCCTTTTTTGTAAAATAAATAATAGCTGTAGGTAAGGTTTTACATGTTGACCCCCAAATTTCTACACAGTACATCAGATATGGTGCAATTATAGAGTTATACATAGTTAATAATGCTGCATTATTTAGTGAGAACTTCAGTTAATGCAGCACAGCCATGGCTTTGGAAATATTGCCTTTAGTGTCATTTATATGAAACCTCCAGTTTAGACTCTCATCAATCATAACTCCTAAAAATTTGTTTTCATTTACTCTTTGAATCTGTATCCCAAATTCAAAGGTGTTGCTTGTTTTGACTGCAAATAAACATCTTTAGCTTGAGAAAAATAAATACAAAATGTGGCTTCACCCCACGCAAGTAGATTAAGGTGACCAGACGTCCATATTTACCCGGGACAGTCCCAGTTTTGAGCTTTGTGTCCCCTGTCCCATCACATTTATCCAAAACCAATGATTTGTCCCAGTTTTATACAAGAAATGTCCCAGGTGTCCTTATTTTCGACCAAGTTGATCCCGACGAACAGTAAAGAGAGGCATAAATTGTCATTTGTTTAGGTAAAATACAGAAAAGCTGCTTAAAAATGACTAAAACACCAAGAAAATGTGAATATACTGACTATTGTGAAAATCTGGTCACTCTATTCAGACCCCTTCAGACTTTGCATTTATTTTGTCCTAATTGAGCTTCCGTAGTGTGTGTGTGTGTTTTTTTTTTTTAGGGGGGGTTCTTTATACAGCGCGGTCTATGGTTATTTTATGTGTGATTGAAGGGTAAAAGGAGGTATGGAAAAGTATTTAAATGAATTGATGCTAATATAACAGGTTGCAGGTTTATTTATTTATTTATGTTGTAATTGTTTTGTCTTCCTTTGGTTCGTCAGTGCGCCTACAATGTCCACTTTCCGCTTCGGGCAGCACCTGATTCGGACCTCGGTAGTGTTCCTGAAGACCGAGCTGTCCTTTGCTCTGGTGAATCGCAAACCTGTGGTCCCCGGGCACGTCCTGGTGTGTCCCGTGCGGGTGGTGGAGCGGTTCGGAGACCTCAGACCGGAGGAAGTGTCGGATCTGTTCTGCACCACGCAGAGAGTAGCGCGGCTCGTGGAGCGTCACTTCGCCGCTACTTCACTGACCATCTGCGTCCAGGACGGGGCCGAGGCGGGACAGACCGTCAGGCACGTACACGTACACGTCCTGCCCCGGAGGAAGGGTGATTTTGAGCGGAATGACAGCGTTTACGACGAGCTTCAGAAACACGACGCGGAGGACGAGGACCCGGCCAAGTGGAGAAGCCCGGAGGAGATGGACCGAGAGGCGGCAGAGCTCAGGGACAGACTGAAGGAGGGACGGTGATCCAGTCAGAAATGGACAAGCTACCTGTTTTTTTGTTTTTGTTTTGTTTTTTTCATAATAAGGACTTCACGCTCCATACTAATGAACATGTGTGTCAATATTTATTCTTATTCGCCTTCAACACTGTGAACACCTTGAAAACTAAAAACTAAGACTGCTCTAATAATACAGAATAAAATTAATTTAATTTTTACCTCAAAATGTAAATCATTTTTACAAATAAAATATATGAAAATTAATAAGTGTGGTGTTCTGACATATATAAATATTTTGAAGAGATATAGAATAGTGATTTTCTTACCATGAAAACAAATATATGGCATTACCATCAGCTACAGACAAGTTGGACAGGTTTTCAAAAACTGTAAACCAGCTGTGGTCAATAAACAGCGGGAAATGACACAAGGTTGTCTCTGAACATTTAGGCTACATAGCATCCAAGATTTGTTCTGCTGTGCCCCTGGCTTTGTCACCCCATGTGTTTCCTCCTTTGGATTGGTGTCATTTTAATGACTATTTGCTAAACTTAGGTTTTTGTATTTCATGTTAAATTTCCTTAAAAGTAAAAATCGTTTTGGTCGATTCCTGCATAGAGCGCATTGCAGTAGTCCAGACGAGTAGAGATAAAAGAGTGCACGACCTGTTCAAAATGATTAAAAGATAAAAAAAAAGGTTTCACTTTGGGTAAAAGACATAGGTGATAAAAACTGAATTTAACCACAGAATTGACCTGCTTGTTAAGTTTAAATCACAGTCTACAGTGACGCCAAGGTTGCTGGCTGAGGGACAAATTAGTTTCTTGAAATGACCCTGATAAGTTTGGGGGTCCATAGGGCCAAACATTACAATTTCAGTCCTGCCCTCATTAAGATTTAAAAAGTTATGTGCCAACCAAGCCTTGACGTCACTCAAGTACTGCAGGAGGGGTGTCAGGGTGTTGCAGGTTTTTATAGTAAAGGGTACTCGTTTTCTTTTACTAAGTCTGTAATGTGCCACAAAAATATCATGTAGAGGGCTCCTTTATTTTAGTAAATGTTCTACTTGCGGATCAGGGTTCTTTTTGCATAGGTGGTTTAAAGCTTCGAGGACCATGTATGGAGGGATAAGGGTGGTATAAGGTTGTCATTCTTACATTTATAATTTGAAGTGTGTGTGAAGCTGAAAAAGTGAGTGCACAGAGATCAGACTAAACCAAGAACAAACCAGGTTTAAACTTGTTCTAAACCAGAACTTAAGCATAACGGTGAACAGTACAACATCAGATCAGACCATTTCATTTAATTATTTAACATTGTTTTTAAATGATAAAACATATACAAACAATACATAATACATCATATCTCAAACACAACAGGACTCCATGCACTCCAAAGAAGCTTAATTCAATTAAGCCCTGATGAAGACCAGTTAAGGTCGAAACATGTTGGCTCTGGCCATTTAAATTAAGGCCTTTTACTATATTTTTCCTTGTGTGATTTTTTAAAAAAACTTTTTTTAACTTCTTTTACTTTGGAGTCCCTAGAGTGCTGTTGTGTTTGAGTTTTGATCCTTTTTCCAAGAGCACCCTCTACAGGCTCCCACTGGTTGGAAAACCTGCATTAAACAGCCACACTTTTGTTCTTTCATCATATATTAAAAAAAAAAAAAAAAAAAAAAAAAAAAAGTTCTAATAGTTACTATTTAATTAATCTTACTAGTTGTAGTAGTTTTCCCAAAACTTTTTTTTCTCTTTTTTTCTTTTTTTTCTTGGACCACTTTAACTCTATTTTGAACTAACAGTACTCTAACTTGAGTACAGTTTTTGACATACATTTTAAACAGGCTGTGTTGATGTGCAGTTAAAAGCCAAGGTGTTGTTATATTTTTTTAAAACTCTTAAAACGTTTGAAATCTGATTTAGCTAAAACTTCATCTAAGTTAATTTCAAAAGAAAAAGAGGGAGAGTTTACTCATAATGTACAATTTAAATACAACATAAATACACAACTCTTGTTCCTAAAAGTTTTGCTAGAATGACGTAATAATCTTCCACTTGCCCCAAAGGCTGCTCTGCACCAAACCGTCTCCCCATGCACAGCTCCTAAATGACCTTTGACCTTTTCCAACATTCCACCTCCAGCACACGCCGCGGATCAGGACGACTCCCCAGAGAACTCAGGTGTGAAGGACCACCGTTTACCAGTAGCTCTCTGAATGTTGTACCATTGGATTTTTGTTACCTCTTCATAAAACTCATTATTTATTTAAACGAGACACAAATTTCATTTTATTTGACTCATTTCTTTTTCCCATTTTGAATTATCTTTGACACACATCTCATCGAACCCATTTATTCAGGACTTTTCCCCTGAGGTCACAATGCAATCTCCGGTAATTACAAACAAAAGCACATTTATTACACAAAGAATGTCTTGTAAAAATATAAAATTCTAGCTAAATTTTTTCAAAAGAAGGGAATTATTTATTATTATTAGTTTGAATGTGCAGTCAAATTGAGACCCGGAAGCTACTGTGTATAATTTTTTGGGTTACACATTGCCATTCTGACATACCATCACTCCGACATTGACGTGTTATTGTCGGAGTAGTGGCATTTCCATTTTTTATGAAACGTCCCTGCATTCCGACATTTTTTTTTCCCTTTGGTTGCGCGCTCTAATGGCACAGAGCACGCCCAATAACAATTAGATGCATCAAATAAGCTTATAATTCACATCAAATAAGGTTTTAATGCATTAAAAACAGGCATAAATGTGAACAGTTTGGCTTGACATAGCGGATACCCTGCTGTACGGGCTCACGGTTTTCTTTCTCTCTCTCTCTCTCTCTCTCTCTCTCTCAAGTCCAAGATTAGTCCTGGTTTAGTCATGGTTCATCGGTATCAGAATGGCGGCATCAAAGTGTCTGAATGGCGGCATCCAAAAGTGTCGGAATGGCGGTATGTCGGAGTGGGGGTCTGTCGGAGTGACGGTATGTCGGAATAAGGGTTGCCACCCAATTTGCTGCCGTGGACAGTATTAAAAATGTTAGTGGTGCCTTGTTAATTTTTCTGTGCCTAAGAAAGTAGCTAGTGACAATGTATGAAAAAAGCCTCCTGAAATCCATGTTAGAAATGTATTATCACAGCACTGACACCGTTCAAATAATGTAAACCAAGCTACAAAACTACAAAATCCATGTAACAAAAGAATAAATACTGCCACATTTGTGAATAACTCAAATGTCCACCATGCAGTCAGTAGCGCTTATGCCAGAAACAAGAGAGGATACATCCAGGTATATTTAATATTATGGACAGACATAGTGAGACATGATGTCCTAAACCTTACTGCAGCTGCAGTAAGGAGACAAAAATAAAACGTTTCCCAGTGCAAACAGAAAAAAGGCATTTAATGATATGTAAAAACACAGGCATATTCATGATGCAGCTCCTGTCATCAAACTGAAGCTTTTTCTCACTGATGGCAGGAGGTTGAATGCAAGAAAGTAACAAGCGCAATCAGAGATAGCAACCTGAATATTTAATTTTTTAAAAATATTTTAGCCCGCAGATGGTTCAGAAATTGTTGAAATTGCTGAAATTCATATCCTTTATAATGACGTGACTTTTCAGTTGACCCGAGTGACCTCAAATGACCTCAGATTGTTACTAAACTTTTTTTTGCGGCATCGGGCACAGGGGCTTGACCTACGTACCAAATTTGGTGACAATCAGTCTATAAATGGTGGAATTATCACGGGTGGACAGACACACAGGGTGAATACAAAACCTGGTCAGCCCTTCGGGACCAGGTAACAATGATAGAGAAGTTGTGGTATTTTGATTGGTAAAAATATCTGATACCAAATGATCAGCACAGAGACATTCTATATAAAAAAGTGAAGAGATCATCGAAATGATTCTCATGTGCTATTGTTTTACTCTGCAGTGGAACTGTATTAACATAAATTACTAACATGATGTGATGCTTTCAACAAAGGACAGTGAATATCCCTAAAATAAATAACTTAATTGTTTTACATGTCGAAACTGATGAAATTGAACAGACATTCAACAGATTTTATTTTTCTGGATTGAACCAGACACATGATACTGGTGTGTCTCTATTTGTGGGGTACATAATCTTACAATTAATAATTTATCCATTGATCCAAGTCAGCCATTACTATCTCTCTGTTGTCTCTTGCTGGCCTTGATATTACAAGTTATACTGCACGAGCTAAAAGTATCATTCTTAAAGAAGAGCTTTCATCAGATGCACAGGTCATAGGCTGTCCAGATGAGACACTACTTATTTCGTGCTTTTGGCTAGTTGTTTGTGAACTAAATAGAGCTAGTGTAAAGCACTCCATAAAATCTTGCTGGGGTGAACTTAAAATTCCTACATCAATAGCCTCATACTGTGTTCTTGACAATGTAAATCAAACGTTCATGTATACATAGAGTACTCTTTATTGTTTATACACACGGGAAGTTGATGGAATCAGCAACTGCAGAGCTGTGGGTTTGGTGTCTGGCTCAAGGGCACTTCAAAAGGCAACACAAATCAGAAGGCAGGATTGGCATGACAACACCATGTGGTTTGCATACCCTCACGTGTTTTAACAATCATAAAGCATCACATTTAACAGAGAATGAACATGGACAACACCTGTGTCCTGGAGACACAGAAGCAGCCCTCTGTACAGTGTTCAGTGACTAAACAAAAAGCAAAGGGGCACCAGTCTTAGCAGTGCAGGTGCGTCTTGTTGGACATGTCGTTCCAGATATGGTGCATCTCCTTTGGGGAGATCTGGTGCGCGGTGATGACATTGAGGAATTCACACAGGCTGTAGGCCATCTTCATGGGTCTGAAGGCATTGTTATGAAGCGGACGGATATTGAGTTTGCGCAGACACAGGCCCACGTACACGTCCTCCAGGTGCAGCAGTCTGATGTGGAGGGAGGTCTTATAGATGAGCTCAGCCATATCTGCAGAGAATACATACCCAGTGCCCGAGCAGAAGTCTGGGTACCGATGGTGTGGGTACAGGTCCCAGGGCATGTACCACTTACTGTGCACGTCCCGGAAGGGAACCCCGTGTATCACATGGCCTGTGAAGTACCTCCTGCGGGGCTTAGTGTTGGGCTTGAGCAGTTTGTGGATGAGATTGTCCATATTCACAAAGATGTCACTGTCTGTTTTCATCACATACTGGGCCTTTGGGCAGAAGGTGGTCACCCACCGCATGCCCATGATGGTCTTCAGAGTCAGGTTGTGGTATGAGTCGATGAAGTTCTCCACCACTATGTCATGGAAGATCTGGCTCTCCTGCTCCACCATCTGGTTGAGCACATTGTCAGTGTTCTGGCCCAGGAGGAAGATGGTGAGGATGTGGATGTCTCCATAGATGCTCTCATTGCCCCAGGTCTCCCTGATGGCCCGACGCGCATCAAACGCTTTATGGGCAGTGCTGATGAGGATGACCAGGAAGGGGCTCACGCTCTCACACTTCTTGGGCTCATTGATGACAAACTCAAAGGAGTGCGGGTTGAGAGGGTGTGAGCGGATATTGGTGACAGTGAAGTTTTTGGGAGTTTTGACAGTCTTGCGTATGGGTATGGACATGTGTACTTCATAGGAGGATGTAGGCCGAGAGATACTGAAGTACCACAGTACACTGGCCCAGCACACCACTGTCAGCAGGTACAAGCATGATACTTTGGAAGGCATTATGCTTCATTTGAGACAGTGGAGAGGCGCCCAAACATGAATTGTCAGCGACAGAGGGCTGCAGAAAAGCGGGGCTCTTTGGACATCAAACTCCTCCTGATGACATTCGCTGCTCCATTTATCCAATTATCTAACAAATCAAGACAGATTTAGTTTACATTGAGACACTTGATTAAGCGCCCCACAGTCATGTATGTTATATTGTTATGTTGTTAATGTCTGTAATATCTCCTCATCCGACTGAGACCACAGAGAAGTGTGTGCCTAAAAACACTTGACTTGATTATGACCAACAAATGCAGGTGTAATCAAATTATATTAGCACCAAAAATATCCTACAGCTTCTGCTGAGGACTCACTTGTGCAGAAAAAGTCACAAGTCATCAGATTTCGGACACATCTCCAGGTTCAATGTGTGAAACATTCAGCTCCAGTGGGCGACAGTTTGTGCTCCAGAATGGTCCATATTATGGTTCTATATTATGGTCCTATATTACATAAAATTTACACTTAAAGCCATGTTATAGTGTTTGTCAAGGAAAATCTGTCCACAAGACAATTCTGTTAAAAAGAACCACTCAGAACAACAAATAGTATATATACTTACGCACAAGGAGAGTTGTGAGGCTGTCTGTCCGCTTCCTGCTCTACTCTGCCTCACACTTCTCCGAGCAGCACTTTTATTTGAAAATCTTGGCACAGATAAGGTACATTTCATGACATCACATAACATATTGTTCACATGTTATCTCATGACTAACAATCTTCAACTAAACCACCCCCCTATTTCACACTTGATTACATGTTCCAGGTGATAGACAATCACTTCGTAGTTCTTCAGGTCCCCGTGTTTAGCATATGATGGCGCTAGTTGTTTTCTCTACAGTAGATTAGCTTAATCATATCAGCTGCTTGTTTTGTATGTTAAACACATCTCGAAAACAAAACACAAAAACAATGTTGATAACTTTTATATTTCCTCATGGTTAATCTTTAAATGATTCACTCTTTAAATGATTAACAAAATACATATATAAATGATTAACACTTTAATGAGAAATACATACATAGCAATTCTCTAACATTCCCTCCTGTTTATCAATATTGCTTTACCTAGTAGAGTACTATAGAGTACTATAACTTCTAAACAGATTTTCTATAGCCTCGTCATTTAGCACAATCTAAACAGAATGGACTTTGATATTGTTATCACGCTTCAGTATAGTTAGCAATGCTTCATGTTCTTCAGCTACATGAACTTCAACTCTTTCATGTTACCTCATGAAAAATATACATGGAAAAATATACCTGGAGTTGTGTTTTGTTTCATTCACACAAGTTTGGGTAATCAATGTTCTGTTCCACCTTGTGATGCCATCAAGCTGAAGTTAACAGCTACTTTTTACCTTTTTTCAATAGAGATTGGCAATTGTAGAGCGAAAATTATCCAAATGATTCTACTGAAGGTGTATGGAGTTTAGAAACATAGTGGAGCACCTCCTGTGTCACCACATGACATCACAAGGTGGAACAGTGTTTCAGTTTGAAAGATCGGATAATAGCGTAATATGAGCCCATTAAACTCAGTCACACTCTGATCTTCCAGTTTGACACACGGACCAGCACGTGAGGAGACCCCAAACCTGTGCCTCTGTTCTGGAATCAGGTCCAGTTGGCTCCCTGTCAGCCTGGATTACTGGGTGGACTATATTAAAATGCTGGGACATTGCCATGGAGCTGCGACCCCTCTGATGAGAAGACAGTGTTGGTAAAAAAAAACATCCAAAACAAGTTATTGTTTTAAATTTACTGAGCGTGTGGTGTCAAAAGCCTTTGACAGAGAAGTATGTTCATTTGCACTACTACAGCAGCTATAACAAAACTACTAATGACTTGTAATTTGTGTTGAGTAATAGTTTAGTAATGATTCTATGCAGGTGTTTTACATGTATCGGTGATTGAAGGTAACAAAGAACAAAAGTCAAAAGTAGAATACTTAAATACAATTTTTGTGTCTGTACTTTATGTAAGTACATTTTACAGTGGATACTTTTTACTTTCACTTCACTACATTTGAGAATGTGTATTAAGTACATGGTTTGACACCTGCTGAAATGACTGAGACTTATTTTTAGCCCATTTAATTTCTGTTAATGTCTCAACTTTGAGCCACACAATACACAAAAACAGAACATTAAGAAATCATTTGAATCACTTAAAATCAGCCCAAATCTTATCAAAATCACTACATTTCATCTTACTTATCTTCTCAAAATACTTTGTTAGTACAATTTTGAACAGGCACTTCAACATTTTTACTTAAGTAGATTTTTTCATATAATACTAGTAAAAGTCTTTTGCCCCCTATCTGTACTTTTACTTAAGTAACAACACTGGGTACTTTATCCATCACTGACATGTTTGTGTTAGTGGAATGTTCACCAGTGACCATGCAGAAGCACACAATAGCAAACACTAGTGCTGTAGTCAAGGCCGCACTGATTGAGACCAAGACCTGTCCGAGACCACAGGGTCTTGAGACCAAGGCAAGACCAAGACTTTAAATGTTGACACTGAGACAAGACCGAGACAGAGAACTTCCACTGGCACTTTACACAAAAGAAAGTGAAGAAAGTGGGTAAGATATTTAAACCAGTTTTTTCAAGTTTCTAACTGGAGTTACATTAACTCACTGGTTTTACAGAGTGAGTTAGCCCCTGCACATTTACCAGATGCACATCGTGACAAATACAGATGCATTTGTGCACTTTTATTAGGCAAACTTCAGGCACATGTCACGGTAAGAAGTTTATTGCTGGCTGTAATGAAATATGATCTCACTTGTCAAGTGTCCGAGACAAAACCGAGTCCAAGCACCTTCAAGACCGAGACAAGACCGAATCTAAATGCAGTCGAGTCTGAGATGAGACCGTGTCCAGGCTCCTTCAAGACCGAGTCCAAATGTGGTTGAGCTCGAGACGGTCTACTATGACACTAGCAAACACTGCCAAATACATTTTAAAATGGTCTAAAACTACATAAAAATGTATTTAAAAACACATTTCCAGGAGTCTATGATAAATAAGTGTCCATGGTCTCTTTTAGGTGTTTGATTTTCAAAAAAAGGTGAGTGACTAAAAACTGTGGGCTAACATCTTATTTGCTGTCAAGACCTGCAGCCCATGAAAAATAATACAATCCCAATGACAATGGCCATGCCCCTGACAACTTCCTGAAGAAGGTGAATACTGTCCGAGTATCAGGAAGAGCAATCTTAACATCCTAGTTGTTGTTAGCATTACAGTGAAGTCAGGATGCTCAGAAAGCCTAAGGTAAGTGAGGAGTAACTTTGGACCACTGCAAACTGTTTAAAATGAACTAGTTTTAAGACGTAGAAAAATCAAGTACAGTGCCTTTAAACATTTTCAGGCTTTTACTAATTCATTTACAATATCCACTTTTATGCATTTAGATTCCAGAGTGATGAAAACTTAGCGCTGTAGCATTTCCCATAGTGATGAACAATATTAATAAGGAAGCAACAAACCGAAAATATCATCAGTCAAAACAATTGCAAATTGTTCACTGTTTTGCCAATTCCTATAGTGCCATTCATTCAACTCTACAGCAAAACTACAAAATGGCCTCACCACCTTTCGTCCTCCACCCTTCTATTTCTCTCTTTCTCTCTGCCGCAAACCTTTAAGAGCGCCAGTCTTTTTCAAATGAAAAAGCGAGAGTGGGTGGTGCGGCTTCACAGCAAAATGACCATGATGCATCATTTCTCCCTCTTCAAAAGCCACTTCCAAACAGCGAACGCCACACAGAAACAACACGCGCAGGCCCCAAACCCGCTCCTTTACCTTCTCACATGACATATTGGTTGTGAACAATGTTGAGCGGTATTTGCCTACACTGGTCCTTTATTGACTCTTGTGAGCTTTAAGTCATGCTATAGTGCTGTCATCTCATCAAAAACATACGTCGAGTTGTGTTTTGGTTCATTCACACATACATCTACAAATGTTAATACGCTCTGTTCCACCTTGTAATGTCATAAAGCAGTAGTTTTCAAGTTCACAGCTCCTTTTACCTTTAGTTCAGAAGAGGTTGGCAATAGACGTTTTTCACAACGTCCGGAAGTGCCGCGATGTAGGGTAAACGCAACTCCCAGTTAATGCTTTTCTGTGGCAAAATATCTGTGGAAATGTCTCGCGTATTTTCCACCAGCTTCATTAATCTGCCCCATCACCAAATCTTCAACCAACAAGATCGACAAAGGATAAACATTCTACCATGAAGAATTTATCCACAACTATCAAGGTAAGAAAGACAGAAACGTAAAGACGAACAACAACTAGCATTAGTGAACTATTCCTGAGCAAAACTAACGTTATAGTCATGAATAAAACATAAGTAACTTGTTCACTGTAATTGTAGAATAAAAATTTAAAATAGCTTTCATGATGTAGATATTGGCATAGACAGAGAGATTCGTACAGTTTAAATGCTACATATGTAATCTGTGAACATCTGTAGCATTCGAACTGCACAAATCTGTCTATGCCAGTATCTACAACATGAAATTCATTTTTAATTTTAATTCTAGAATCAGTCTGAGTTAACAAGTTACTGAATGAATTACTTATTACTTATGTTTTATTCATGACTGTAACATTAGTAGTTCACTAATGTTAGTCGTTGTTCGCCTTTAGGTTTTCGTCTTTCTTAACTTTATAGTTGTGGATAAATTCTTCATAGACAGAATATCCTTTATCGATCTTGTTGGATGAAGATTTGGAGATGGAGATTTATGAAGACATTTACCCTACATTGCGGCACTTCCGGCTGTTGTGAAAAAGGTCAATTCCAGGTCTGAAATCATCCAAATGATTCCAGTGAAGGTGTGTGGAGTTTAAAAACACATTGGTGCATTTCCGGTATAACCACATGGCATCACAAGTGTTTTCTGTGTGAGAGAAGAACTCAGCGCCATGGAGTTGCAGACGAGAGGATCAGATGGGTACAGAGGAGAAGGTCAGATGGGTGCAGAGTCACGGTCAGATGGTGCAGAGGATCCGCCAAACGTGTTGACAGAGACAGATAAACAGATGCTTGTGTAGCTTTAAATCCCCCAGTGTGTAAACTTCACTCATTCATTGTCCTTGGAAAAGACCCAGACTGTCAGTGTAAATTTACTGTGCCGTTAATAGCGTTTTATCACATTTACTTTAACGACAGGACACCTAACAAAACCAATGTAAACTCCAACTGACAATGTAACAAGTAAAACGGGCCAGACAAACGAGTCAAGTGTGTTTTATCTCTAACCTCACAGGAAGACGTATTCTCACGATATTTCGCAAACTCAAGAGAATCCATCTAGCCCGGCCTCTGGGTGACGGACCAATCACGTCGCAGTGTTGAGGTTTGAGGTGAAGCATCAAAATGAACCAAAACAAACATGGCGGCACAGACAGAGGTACTTCAGCCTATTTTAGTAAAAGTACGGACTATTTTGTTTGTGTAAATCATGCAGAGGGTAAGTGCTTTGTGTATTTGTGGAGAGAGAC